TGACAAATGATTTACTCTACCTTTAATTTTGAAGTTGTTAATTCAAGCCCAATTTCTATGTCGGCTTTGACCTGCTTAAAAAATGGACAAGGTGTTTGTAGTTCAGTCATAGCACTGTCTAATATCTGAATTATTGTATTTCTTAAACTTAACATCTGTCATTGTTGTCACTGAAAGCGTGGAAATAACTTCAGCATGTTGAAAAAATATTCTTGAGTTGTAAATAGAGACACCCCCCAAAAATAATTTCATATTATGCTTTCACCTACTTTTAGGGTTAACAGTTATAAACTAAAATCATTTGTGTTTAAGAGACCATTCTTAAAGCTTTAGTCCATCATTTGTAATTTGTGCATTTTGTTCGTTTGAAGCAACAAAAGTGTTCAAAATCTAATGAAGGATACTGAGCAACTAACCTGATGAAGTTTCAGCTAAGCTTTAGCTGTACATTCCGAGAAAAAGCAGCATTCTAAGATCTAAATTTCAAATCAAAAGTTACTGAATCATGTTTTGAATTGTTTTGAATTGCAGCTATACGCGGCGTCGCGTACTGATCCGACGAATTATAACAGCCGCGCGCGCGTGTGCGTCGTTCCAATACTTGTGCGCGCTGCGCTGAATAACAAAACGACCTACTAATTTAAATTTTCCTACGGTGCTTCTTAAGAATCACCGTTGGAAATGCCTTCTTTCGTTGATTACTTCAAAATGACAGCTTCCCAGAAAGAATAATTTCACAGGGAGTTTAGTTCCCTTACTATCTTTCAACCAAGTTTGTTTTTCAACAGTAATTACGCCAGTTACTTTTCGGATGGCTGCAAATGATGGACTATAGCTTTAAACTTGAAGCTTGTGCCTGATATATATACATTCTAAGAAATATATTTGTTTGTTTTCAGTTGCCTAAACTACAGAATTTGAGCCAAGTGTTTACTGTTTTTGTCATTCTAGGAGGATGCCTTATTTCTCGATCTCAATCTTCACCGGAGCACAGCCATTTTGGTCGTAGAGGCGTACCTCAAAGTTCTAACTTCCAAATCGCCCGGAGCTTCAAGGGTAAAGTTTCCTCATTAGGCAGGCTTTCCTTGATTCCATCTTGTCCATCTTTTTTCAAGAACGTTTTTGATTTAGATTGTGTATGGCTGTATTCACTGGTCATGAGCCCAATGTTCTTGTTTCATTGGTTAATGTTTCAATTTGTCAGGGAAGTGAAAGAAGCTCATACCCAACTGTTCGATAGTACCAGGTAGGGAGTATCCCGAGATGAACCTTAGACTCCCGTCTACGTCCCTCCGCTTTGCGTCGGGAGGTAGTCAAGCTGACCTACACCCCAGGACCAGTAACTTCCACAACTTCCCCTCAAATTATGTTGTATTTGTATATTACTCAAGTTATACATGTACTTTACCGCTTGTAGCTTGGTACTGGACCGTTCTCCTCCCAGGAGCAAGCCTTTGACCTGTGGGCCTGGGACCTGGTCCCTAAACTCCGCCTCCACAAACACCACCAGCCCCGCCCCATCCTGCTCGCGTCCAGCGAGGGCGCCGCTCTTGACGACTGGTTTGGTGTGCTGCCAAATCCCGACACCAACATGAAGCTGTATCCACTGCAGAAGGCGTTGCAGACCAACGTTACTATCGGCTGCTTTGTGAATATTGCAATGACCAAAACGGGCCATAGGTTGGTATGAAGAGTAAATTTCGCTATTTTGGATGAATGCCTAAGGTCATTTGATCAAGAATTAATTACCTTAACTAGGCATTCGTGAGATAATTAATAATGTGCTATATGTTTGAGGCAATTTAAGCACATGTAAATATCATCTCAAGTGGATACCATTCAAACTCGCTGTAAAAAGTCAAGTTGCAAAAATTGCGCTTAAACCAACTTTTGGTTTGAATTTTATTTTTAAAGATTGTATCGTTAAGGTCATCAAACTCCTTCACTAACAAAGTGTAGCATTTTTCAGTCAATAAAACATATTTCAGCTGTTGACCTTGGCGTTTATGAATATTCAATTTGACCTTTAGCATTGATAGCTTCATCACAAACGGCATCCCCAACATGCACACCCTGATCCAGGCTGGTTGCCAGCGCTTCTGCCTCCCCCTCCTCGCAATGGTCGTGCCCATGTTTTCTGGATGAGGAAACCCAGACTACCTGCTGACCAATGACAAGTAAGATCTTCATTCATGAATATTCATTCAGGGTCAGTCCATTTTTGAATAATGGCAGAAAATCCCAAACGAGGAGACAAGTCTAGTACGTAGTCTGCTTTGAGTATGTCAGCTTATTAGCCGATTTGGAATGGTCCGAAGAGTGGTCCGAACTCTGAAGAGTGTCACATGCAAGACATTCTCCACACTTCTGAATTACACTCATGGAACAGATTTGCAGGAATTCTTTAAAGGGAAAATACAACATTTGCAAACATCAAAAAATAAAACTACCAAATCATTTTGAAATACCTTGCTGGACTGTTAGTGAATGACAGTGGAAAGCATCCTGTAAAATCATGGCACCTGGTATACTGTCATTTTCAAGAAAAGTGGTATTTTTGTATCAATTTCCAACGCTGGTCGGCCGACCAGCGTTGGAAAAAAACTGGCTTTTTTTCAAATACTGGCCCCAATTGACCATCGCACTTGTTTGCAATCGATTACACACCTATGAACGGGTACAAGCCAGCTAGACTGGTTCCCTGACCTTACAATTCCCCAATGTATGTAAACTGCTCTGTTTCTTCTTATATGGAGTCAGGGAACCAGACTACAGGAAAACGATTGTTTTTCTTGGTTTTTATAGCATTTTTGAACCCCAAACCTCAAAAAAGTCAGTGTAACTATATTTGCTATATATTTCCAACCCCCCATTTCCATCCATTTCTGAAAATTACAGCAAAAGCAAATGATGTATATTCCCTTTAAGCAAACAATTTTTGCATTAATTTTCTGTAGGTTTTTGACCATAGTTCATCGTATCCTACAAGCCGACCACCAGAGCCTCCGGTCATCTTCCACAGGAAGTAACGCCTTCCCGGGAGACACCACAAAACTCTTCGCTGGAATGGTTTTGGTAAGCTGTCTTTTGATACAGAGTTTGCTGCGTGTCGTAACACGACTAGTTTGCATTCTAAATACACAGTGATGGATTGGGGGTAAACTAGCCAAAACAATTTGCTCACTCATAGAACTATGCCTCATGGGTGTTTTGTAATCACACTGATTCCCATTTCATATGATAATTAATTTATTTCTGAGTAATATAAGAAATTAGTTTTTATATGAGGCTTCCAATGGTAAAAATAAATCAGCGTATTGTATTCTTTTGTACAACATACTTGGATGACAGCAATAATTTTGATATTGTCCGGTGCGCCCTCATCCGGGCATTTTCGCTGGTTCCCGCATGATCAAGAGCGTGGAAACTCACAGTTGTCAACCACTCAACAGAGCGTAGCGCGCGGTACTGTCGAACACGGACACCCACGCAGCAAGCATGCAGCACGCAGCAGGCCAGGTGTATGCGCACTGTCAGCTTCAAATAGTTTGACGAAAAAGGAGAAATGAAGACAGTGTCTTGAATTGTATTTCTTGCGGATCAAGTCAGCCTGATATAAATAATAATTATAATATTGGATAGCTTTTTTTCGGGGGATACAAGCAAGAATATATTGTACTCGCGATGTCATAGTTCGTGCAATATATTCTTGTATCCACCTCAAAGCCATCCAATATTATATATACCCTTGTATTTGAAGTGCCTTCTTCCAGGTTTTTACAATACTTTTTTAATTTTGTGAAAACTGAGAAAACTAACGCAGTGATGTTACTTTTAAGGCACTCGCATAAGAGTTCACCCTGAAGTTTCATGAGCTCATATCAGTGTTGCAGATTGAGTTTACGCATTGACTGTATTTAATGAAGGAAGAAACAAGAAAATGATGAAACTTTCCCAAAAATTCGAAATCCAGCCATCTTCGTTTTTAATATGTGAATAGCAGTTTTCCCAAAATCTTCAAATATTTCAAATCCCACTGTTTTTTTTTACTCGTCCACCAGACCCAGATCCAGCGATCTTTGTCTCCTAGTACCGGCGCTCTCGCAGCTGAAGCAGTCTTGGAGTTCTGGTTGAAGCTTCTGACGACGCGCAGCGGCTGGCATCTGGATCAAGACATCTGCTACATCTTAGACGCGGTGCTGTCGGCGGCGTTCTGCAACAAGGGCGGTTGCTCCCTGGCTGAAGAGGTCATACTCAAACAGTACAAGGTACTTTGACAGGCTTTTTCCAGACTTCGGTTTTCTTTCAGCTTTGTCTTCAGCTGTTCCCTGGCTCCAGAGTTATTTGGAAGCCTGAAAGGCAGATAGGATCATTTGCTTTTCATGCATTTTGTTTGCTTCCATTAGTAAGTCTGTCACAAGCCAATATGGCCCATCAGGCCGGCGTTTATCTCCGGTTTCAGTGGCATGAAACGACTGAGAATATTTCCATTCCCCCTGGACGGGATGCCAGTCCATTGCAGGTTACTGCCCAGCTAATGCTGGTACCCATTTGTACTCCTGGGTGGAGAGAGGCAAGTAGGGGTGAAGTGGCTTGCCCAAGGACACAACATATGGCCAGCAGCTGGATTTGAACCCATGACCCTCTGATCGTGAGCCACTAGGCCACACTCCCCCACATTAGTAACACCACTCAAAATTCAAAGAAGAATGTCTAAACCTAAACCTCACCTCAGTGGGTACTGCACTTTTGAGAAAACAGTGACACGCCATGCACAACCTTTTGATCACGAAAAAGGATTTTGTCGATAGCACTCTTTATTTCCAAAAATCAGTCCACTGACTGATCGTTGGAAATCGCCTACCTTTCTGGATTTCTTCTTAATGACAGCAAGCCAGACAGAATAATTTCACGGGTTGTTTAGTACCAGTACAATCGTTAATCCAAGTTAACTTTTGGTAATAATTTGATAGGTTACTTTTAGCATAAATTAAAATGATCCTATTTGCCTTTAAATGTCCGAATTGAAAAGAAAAATTATGTGTGATTTAAGGTTCCCAAAGCAGATCCAGAAATAGGCCAAAGTCCTCCAAATAGTTGTCTAAAATCTCCAAAGTCCAAAGCTACAGAAAACAGGAATTTGAAAGACTGCAATGTCTTCTCTGGCCACTTACAAAAAAAGTCTTGCTTGCTTTTACTAACCTTTTCCAACTTGAGCCCGGCAGATTTTTTTTCTCTTGAAATCTACCATTTGCCACAACCAGACATGGTTCTCTATGTTGAATTGTGTTCCGTTACTTGTTGTTGCATAATCTGGCTGTAAGAAACCTCACAGCTAATGTGCAATCACTCAGTTCTCCATTGCTATAAGTGTGACCATTCATTTAGGTAAACTAAAGCTGCCTCACATCACCTTGGGCCAACCCAACCCCCCCCCCCAAAAAAACCCCAAAGTTTGTGTTCTTTTCTCTTGTTTTTCATGGTATATTTGCTAATTTCTGACTTCAGCTTGCTCTAAGATCTTCCTCAAGTCAGGTAATTTGCTTTTCCAGTTGCTTTTTCAGTGGAGTTGTTTTGATGTGTTTCTGCAGTGGTTACTGTGTTGAGTGGCTTTCTCGTATGCATGCTAATTTGTTCCTGTTATGAAAAGTGTCGTTTGTTATAATAGGTCCGATCGTAGTACCACCTGACCATCCAGTTACCCCGTGATCGGCCACCATTGCAGTAGGCAAGCGTTTGGTTAGCAACCATGTTGTGCGTTGTAAACCAGAGAGTAGGGCTCATTTTCACGTAAACTAACCTCAAATTCTTTATCAAATGGCATAATGGTCACTACCTGTGTTGTGTACGGTTGTCACAATCGTGCCGACCCAGCACTGGATGTTGGCTTTGTGTTTTTCTCACAGTTTTTACCATCCATCACGGCTTTGAGGGTAGCCTACTACCTACTGCGCAGTGCGATTTCTTTTGCCTACTACAATGGTGACGCTGACTTTCCGGCTGGTTCACGTGGGTCAGAGAGAGAGAAATTCCCTATACAATGTGTTGTCAACTTACTGCGTATTGAGTGCACAACAGAAACTGAAAAGGGCCACCACAGTTGCATATTTCACCCTTCCACCGTTAGAGGGCATAAACATGCACACAGTCACTTGTTGCAGGGAAAGTATCTCAGTGTAGAAGAAAATGTTAGAATGAACCCTAACTCCCCAGCATGATTTACTAGGAACCATACCCATCCTGGCAAATTCCAACACCACATGGGAAACTGCACACACATATTTCTGACTTTGATTCTGGAGGTGTGCCAACCCAATGCAAAAGACTGTCAGTTTAGCCTTAGTGGTACTGTACCCATCCTGACAGATTCCAACAAAACATGCCTTTGGGGTTTGATGAGTTGAGTTCTGTTAGGATTAATGATTGTTTCCAGCACCCTTCTAATTCAAGTCAACAGAAGCCTTGATAATGCCTGAAAAATGTTACATTTAACAATCGTTTGTTTATATATTTGTAAATTTGAATCATATTACAGGCCTAACCTTCCGAGTTAATATTAAAATGTTGTTCTTGTCCTTTACATATACCAACATTCATATAATTTCCTTTTGTTTGTATGAAAACTTTGTCAACAATTTTTTTTTTAAATGTCTTCTTTAAGTGTTTGATTCTAATCTTAACAAAAGCAAAGTACATTTTGCATTTGTACCATTTCACTATTATTGCTTGAGGCTTTTTTTGCACTGTGTTCATTTGTGTTAAAGTTCAGTTGTTGTAGTTAAAGTCCATCACAAATCTGATGCAAAAATTCCACGAGTCATTAAAGTGGCATTCCCCATGCTATTTTCTGTTGTTTCATTCTGAAAAAAAATGGATGCATTTTCTAAATGCTATTTTTCAGGCAGTAAAAAAGTTATTCACTTTTGAATGAGACATCGACTGAAAAAAATTGGCCCATGTTTAGTTATTTAATTATTACTGTATAAATTTGAATTGTTAACTGCCAGACAATAATTCTGTTCGTTCTTGTGGGGTTGGCTGGTTCCCGCCTCACAATTAGTATTGATAATGTACTGACCCGGATCCATCTACTCGCAAACTGGATCTGTTCGTGCCCAAAACAAAAACCTTTTTTTTTTCAGAGGAGTGCAGACATTTTAAAAAAGAAGAAAAAAAGAAGTATTTTTGGTTGGAATAGAACATACAAGTTGAAAATTCATGAAGAGAAATAAAATGAATTTGTTTATGATTCTTACATCTTTGTTGTCCTCAGGACGCGAAGGTTGAGACCAAATCCCAAGGGTTCATCTCTTCCGTTCTGTCCTTTGTCTCATCTGGCAACCCCTTGCCGAGCCTCCTGGAGAAGCAGAGCATGGAGAGGCCGTGGCTAGCCTACTGCATCCTGTCAGCAGAGACTAAGAACCTAGAAGACATGGGATTACTGCGAGAGGTCTCGTTAGAGTTGTGTCAAGATGCCGACCTGAGCCCCGATGCGGGTCTCAAGGTAAGTTGGAACCATTATTGATTGGCCCATCAGAGGGTCAGGGACAATTTGGCACAAGAATATATCATTGTGTGCCCCTTTACTACCGGTAAGGCCAAAAAAAAGAATAGTTCTGCTTCCGGTTACCCGACCGACCCTATTTTTGGGCTGCGACCCTAAAAATTTTATCGGCAATTCCAAAAAAAAAGAAAAAAAGATTGAATAAATAAAAATAAAATTTTGTTGTCTTTTCTGTCCTCACAAAATACCTCTCAACAACCCTTTTGCATCAAAAAATGCTTGTATTTATTTGTTTTCTTACTTACATTCGCTTTTTTTCAAAAGAAACCTCCGTTATTTTTACAAATTCGCTTCGCGATATAAACGATGTCCGTACGGTGACTATATCACGTGGCGACGACTGGTTCCTGCCGCGCCGCGCAGGGGCCAATTTAGAAGACATGATGAAAATGCGGTAACCAGTCCACAACTATGCGACCGATAGCGCGCTAGCAGCGCAGGCCACTGTCAACTGGTCGGATTCGACATCGTGAAAAATGCCAAGAAAACACCGATGGAGAAAGAACATTTTTGCAAGTTAATTTACAGAATTGATCTAGCTTGTCTCTGTATGTATTTTCTGTGTTCAAGAGTTCATTTTGAGATCGCACTACTCGTATTTGGAGTGATACATGCCGCGTGTTTCCCGGCATTTTTGACCGTGAAAACAGGTCTGTCGGCCCATGGCGGGCCGCTCGCCACACACGCTCGCATCACACACCTCGGAGTTTTGGCCAGCTCCCCGCGTCTTGACTAGCGTTGTGCATATGGTGCGAACGACCTGAATTTTCCATTATTTTTTGAAATTATCGAACGTAAATATATTGACAATAATTAAAGGTAGGTTTTATTCACTTTTTGTTGCCATTTCGTGTATAGCTTTCGTAGTGCAATGGAAATAGTTCAGGCTAAAACTTTGCATATAATTGAATACCCCATTCAATCTGCTTAAAAAAAATTGGCAAAAAAAAAAAAATTCCGACCGACCGACCCTATTTTTGAAAGGCATGTAATCAGAAGCAGAACTATTTTTTTTTTTGGCCTAACTGCTAAAATCAACTACATAATGGGTCCATTAAACGTACTTAGTTTGATAGTAATATGTGAAGCGGTCATTGGCTTGTATTGTACAATTCAATCCAACAGCGCTGGTTCGTTATATTCCAACGTTGGGTAAAGTGATCATTACTGGAGAATTTTACTGTTTATCTTTGGCATTGTGTTGCTGCTTTTATGTGTCGTCTTGGATCATTGGATTTGTACCCCTAAGCATGCCACTTTACCACAATCATTGTTTGTTAATAGGATATTATGATGCTTGACTGTTAAATATAAAAACATGAATCAGTAGAATTGCTTGATTAGTCAGTCATGTACATTGGAGATTAAAACTTCTTGAAACGTACTTCCACATGTATTGAAAAATCCTGTATTTCTCAAAATTAATTTTAAAAAAAGAAGATTTTTATCAAACTTTCACATTCAGAAAATGTATTTTGTGACGTTATTAAAGAATCTGTCATGATGCCAGTTTCTGTTTGGAAAATTTTATTTCACAGCGCGCCTGTCAGAGACTCAAGTTGGACTATTCCATGCCCGTAGCTCGGCTGCCCATCTACCGCTGGGCTCAACTAGCTCTAGACACGGACATCGAGCATCCCCTGCTACCCATCATATGGCAGCGTTTCTTCATGGTTTACCTTCAGCGAGTCACTGCAGAGTCTGGGTATGCTTCCAAATGTTTGCTGTCCTTATTTCATTCTTGCTGAGGCGAGTTTTTGTGTCAGGATCTGTTTCTTAACCCTAACTCCCTAGGCCTTTTTGCTAGGATGTAGCCTCAATCCTGCAAAGTCCTCCAATCGGCCCCATGGAAAAATAGCATATAGCCACAAACCTGCAAATTCCTCCGTTGTTTCTTGAGTATGGTCCATGGAGGGGTGACCACTGCCTGAATCCTGCAAAATCTTCCGGCTATGACTGTCAATAGGCTGAGGCAGAGGCAGTGACATCCTGGAGCAGTACGGAGGTTGTCAAGTATAATCAAGGACTAAATTTATGCACGGCTGAACATAAACAACACAAGGTCCGGCCCAAGGCCTTGACACAGTGCGTACTCCGAAATCAGCAACGCACTTTTGCCATGTAACCTCAATCCTGCAAATTCCTCCAATTTGCAAAAAGGATTTTGGAGGATTCAGGGCGGTTAGGGTTAATCGAAGGAATAACTGAGGAGTCACAACGCTAAACTTGTGATTATGTTTTGCTCGGCTTTTGAACTTTCCCAAATGATTGTTTTAAGTTACTGAAACATTCAGAGCGTGAGTGTGTATGGGGTTACATCAGCTGATGAGAACGTATGAGCCAATTTATGCTTCCCCTATTTTTCAAGGATCCAATGCATCAGGGAAGTATAAATAACTATCCCACATGCGCGACAAACATACTATGGCCCAACAGGTTGCTATCACTTATCATTGATGCAATCAGTAGTAGCCCTACTGTCTATCGTAAGCCCTACCGTGGATCGTTACTTCGTTATATACGATGAGTTTTGTGGAATCAACCGTCAATTCCTCAAAAGCAAGTAGTACTGTGTCTTTGCTGTATTTCTTCTGTCATGTCTTCTCCTTTTCTTTGATCCTATAGTATTTCCCAGAGAGCCAGCATCGGCCAGCGTTACTTCCAGAGCATCACCAACCTGACCTATCTCAAGAAGATGAAGAGACGACTCCGACAGACGGCCGACTTCCACCACGAGGCCAGCCACAAAAAGCCTGCTGCCCCAAAGCCCTCCCCCTCCTCCTCCTCCATGGGTTCTACAAACCAGGCAGAGGCTGGGGAGGAGGAGGCCAGAATGGATGGACTGGAGGAAGGAGAATTTGAAGCTGGGTCGGAGCATCACCGCCATCTTGTTCAGTGAGTTAAAACAAAATCTGAAATAAATGGCCAGTTTGAACTTGGTTCAAACTCATAACGCAAATGCCAATTCTTGATGTCATTTCAAGTACTCACACTGCAAATTCATGAAAGTTGAGCACATTTTAACTCCAGCAAATTTAGCTGGCTGTGCTTTCAGCATGTCGTGCCCCTGACAAAATAAATACAATTTTCAAACTTGCCTTGGAATGGACCATTCTGGATATAGGCTGTAAGCCCCGCCCACTTCGTGCAGTCGCAGCTGTATGATTGGTCAAAACCTCGCGAGGCACGGCTTAACCGATCACTCTGTCGGTGACTCTTTTTGTGTGTTTGTTATCTACAGATTGTATCAGATGTACCTTCTGTGGTTAGAGGAGCCGTTGCTACATGACGCGAGTCTCTATCTGCCCTCGTTGCCACCGCAGTATGAGGCTGAGAAACTCTCCAGAATCTTCAACGGTGATCAGGTAGGTCAAACAGCATTATATTGTTGACTTGTTGATGTTGATTTAAAGTTTGTGTCCTTGTCTATTGTTTGTGCTGTGTTTTGTGTATTAAAAGCAACTTTAAATTTGTGTAAGGGGCCAACGATTACAAGCTTAGCTTCTTAGTTGGTTCCTCTACAGTTTCACCATTTGTCTATAAAGTACCTTTTTGTATTGATTGCCATAATTAAAATAAGTGACACTGTGGATATAAATAAACAATGAACAATATTGTGCAGTTCATTGTTGACTTGTTGATATTATCTAATTCATCAATTTATTGAACACACCCATTATATCCACTAAACTCTGGGCAATATCCACTACTTCCCTAGGACTTGTGGGGTATTGTGGACTTGCTGATATTATCCAATTCATCAATTTATTGAACACACCCATTATATCCACTAAACTCTGAGTAATATCCACTACTTCCCTAGGACTTGTGGGGTATTGTGGACTTGCTGATATTATCCAATTCATCAATTTATTGAACACACCCATTATATCCACTAAACTCTAGGCAATATCCACTCCTTCCCTAGGACTTGTGGGGTATTGTGGACTTGCTGATATTATCCAATTCATCAATTTATTGAACACACCCATTATATCCACTAAACTCTGGGCAATATCCACTACTTCCCTAGGACTTGTGGGGTATTGTGGACTTGCTGATATTATCCAATTCATCAATTTATTGAACACGCCCATTATATCCACTAAACTCTGGGCAATATCCACTACTTCCCTAGGACTTGTGGGGTATTGTGGACTTGCTGATATTATCCAATTCATCAATTTATTGAACACACCCATTATATCCACTAAACTGTGGGCAATATCCACTACTTCCCTAGGACTTGTGGGGTACTGTGGACTTGCTGATATTATCCAATTCATCAATTTATTGAACACACCCATTATATCCACTAAACTGTGGGCAATTATCCACTACTTCCCTAGGACTTGGGGGGTATTGTGGATGACGAACTATATCATACCGACTTTCATACAACTCAACTATACAACTCATCTCCACACCCGTGATATTCATTCAAATATCCACTAACGTTTCAGGATCTGTGGATGGAGTACGCCAACGTGGACATGGCCAACTATCAAACAACTCAGCTAGTCAACTCGTGGATCACAATGAGTCAACCAGACACAAACACATCAGGATTCAGCCAGGGTCTGACCTCAGAACAAGAGCAGATTGACAGTGGTAAGAAACTGTTAAAGGGAATGTACATCATTGGCTTTTGCTGTAATTTTCAGAAATTAACTATTTGAGGGGTTATTATAATAGATCAAATATTGTTACACTGACATGTTTGAATTTTTGTGTTTGAAAATGCTGGAAAAACCAAGAAAAACAAAAATGTTCAAGTAGTCTGGTTCCCTGACTCCATGAAAGATGAAATGGATCAATTTATAGATGCCGGAAAATTGTAAGGTAAGGGAACCAGTTGTAGCTGGCCTGCACCCGTTCATGAACATGTAACCAAAAGCAAACAAAATTTGGACGGAAAAAAATGTAAATTTGGAGCAGTAGTTGAAAAATAGTTAGGTTTTTCCAATGGTGGTCGGCCGACCATTGTTGGAAATGTATACAAAAATACCATTTTCTTGAAAATGACTTCACACCAGGTGCCATAATTTTACAGGATGCTTTAGACTGTCATTTACCAACATCCTAGTAAGGTATTTCGTAAAAACTTGGTAGTTTTATTTTTCGATGTTTGCAAATGTTGTATATTCCCTTTAAAATTTTAATTTTTAACGACCGAGTTTGCCCAAGACTGCAAGAACAACGACAGACTTTGTCGTTATGAGCGTTTCAAGGAATTTGATATAGCAAAACATTTATGGCAAATTTTGTTTTGAATTTTGTTGAACTTGTTGCAGAGAAACTACTGGCTGTAATGTCACAATTTCATTTGCATTTTGTGGTTGAGTATAAACCAGCTTATATTCTGGATATAGTTTGCTTTTTTTCATCAACGAAATTGTGGAAAGACAGTATTCAGAAAGACATCATGAAGTTGCAAAGTCGGAAACAGTCATTTCGAGTTGTTATTACATTACTGTTAATTAATATCTGCTGAGGTCAGTAGATGAAACAGAGTGAGTGATTTATTCTGAAATTTGAAAGTGGGCATGCACATTGTGCCACTAATACAAAAATCTGAAAATAGAATTCATGAATTCATGAATTCATTTTGAAAATGTTCTTTAAATTTGGCATTTCAATGCTGTTCTTTGTTAACTCTTGCCTAGCAACAAGCCGTATCCTGAACCGTCTGACTCACTATGAGGATCAGCAAGAGCCACCTTCAGTGGTACCCGTCTTTGCACCGGTGCCCGACGTGCCTCGGGAGCTACTAGTCAACAATCATGCCATGCTAGTCTTCGTTCAAGATGACATTAAACAACTCCTATACTATGCAGAGTAAGCCTTTGTGTTGCTGAACAATCATACCCAAATTCTTAACTCCTTGTAAAGAAGGTTATATTTAACAATTGTTGTCTGCTCTGATGTGGGATATGCCGTTTTTCGAGGGGGTTAAAAAGGGCACATCTCAAATCCCAGTAGTCAACAATTGTTTTGTTATATCATGCTTAAAGTCAAAATGAAAAATGGTTGTAAATTATTACGCAAGAAATGAATGAAATCAGTGCGGTGTAACCCTTGATAACTGCAGGCTTTCCTGCCGGACATGAGACTGAGTGGTAGCGCATTGCTGTTCTCAGTCGCGAGCACGCGTGCAGTTTCTACATTCAGTTTCTACATGCGTGCATCCAAACGCGCATTGAATACGAGGTTAACCACTATGTATGCATTTTTACAGACTGGACACGTGGCCGTTCTCATCCAATGAAATTGCAGTATCCAGGCGCATGATGTAACAAATAATTATTGGTACAATATGAACATTCACAAATGTATGAATAATATAATGTAGCACGAAATTTTTAATTAATCATGATTTTTGAGTTACACTATTTTCTCTTTTTGTACGCAGCACATTTTCAGACAGGGAGAACCGCAACGTGGTCCTAGATTGTGAGTTCCTGGAGATGGTGCCTGGTCTGTACGCCAACAACGATATACAGGTCAGTGTTGAATTCATCACAATGCCCCCCTTGCCGAACGTAACCAAATTTTATAGACCAGCAAACATTTATTTGTAATTTCTGCAGTGACCAAATTGGTACTTTGATTCTGTTTTTCTAGAACCAAATCCAGGTCCCGTGTAAGAGTATGTTCAACCCAATGCACAAGTGCAAGGGCCCAGCAGTTGTCACCGTCAGAGTAAGACTTGTTGAATATTCCTTGACGACTAAATCCTTGACTCTTTTATCTCCTTCCTCTCGTTAATTTTTAATCCTGCATCAGGTACAAAATTACAGATTTTAAGAAGTTGCGTAACAAAGATTGTTAGTACTTGAGGTTCACTTCATTCGCAAGAGTTGGAAACATTTTAGCTCTGTGTTTCCTTCATTGGCATTTACGTGAGAGTCTTAAACCGGCCTTAGTAAGATAATTTATACAACACCAGGATTAATTTTGCCATTTTACTTACAGCACAAGTCCAAGCAAGTTAACGAGATCATCTCTAGACGACTGGATGAGAACCGAGCCGAATTCAAACAGCTGTCAATCGAGTCATTAGCCCCACCTCCTTCAAATGTTGTCGTGTCTGCCGTACACATAGAGAATGCAATCACGTAAGTCACAGCATCAGCAAGATATGGCATCGACAGCTTGTGCTGTGTGAAGGGAAGGCAAGGCTGCCCAGAGGGTTGGTGGTATCGTGTGGGCAGAGAAGTTACTACTTGGAATCTCAGAAGACTGCAATATTAGAAAACTACTTGGTGAAATCGTTTTTACCACTGTGACTCCGCTCGCTAAGCGTGCTTCTTAATTGTCAGTTACTCTAGTTAACTCGAGTATACTTCTGCTAACTTTTGATGATCCTGATTATTTAGTTACTAGTTAACTTCACGTTTGTTAATCAAGTTCCAATTTTTTCAAATTTTCCGTTATGACCCTTATTGCCAATTTCAGGGATCTCATTCATTTCACTCGGGCACTGACTGACAGCCCTGCCGAGTTTGAAGCTGCCAAGCAGACTGGCGTTAGTCTACTCTATCACCTAGGCAACCAGATGAGCGAGAGTGCCAGGCACTACCCACCCACCCGCCAATTCTTCTCATCTTGCATTGAAATACTAGGCCAGGTAGGAAATATGCAGAGGGAGAGAGTGCTGTGTATGTAAGAGCAGTGTAATCTTAAGACATTAAATCTAAATGGCAATGTTTTGACTTGTGTTTGAATGGTGTCTGGTAAATTGACTCGATCTGGTGCCCGAGTGCCATCCCCATTACGAGTGGTATATTCTTTTCTGGGCAACTTTCATAATTAACCTATCACGGTAGAATCGCGCCAATGCAGCTTGTTAAATATTGTCCAATTGCATGATATACAAATGGGCGCAGAACGCGCAAAATCTGAGACAAACAAAATTTAATGTGCAAAATTTCTTAGGGTTGTCTGTAAAGGGGCGTGGCTAACTCGCAAACACTGATAGGTCAATTATAGTCATAAACATTCTGGCCCTGAAAATCAAATTCTATATATACAATGTGCACAGTGCACAACCTGCTTAAAGGGAATATACAACATTTGCAAACATCGAAAAATAAAACTACCAAGTTTTTACGAAATACCTTACTAGGATGTTGGTTAATGACAGTCTCAAGCATCTTGTAAAATTATGGCACCTGGTGTGAAGTCATTTTCAAGAAAATGGTATTTTTGTATACATTTCCAAAGGTGGTCGGCCGATCAGCGTTGGAAAAACCTAACTATTTTTCAACTACTGCTCCAAATTGACCATTTTTTTCAGTCCAAATTTTGTTTGCTATTGGTTACATGTTCATGAACGGGTGCAGGCCAGCTAGACTGGTTCCATTGCCTTACACATTTCCATCATCTATAAATTGATCCATTTTATCTTTTGTGGAGTCAGGGAGCCAGACTACTTGAACATTTTTGTTTTTCTTGGTTTTTCCAACCTTTTCCAACACAAAACTTCAAAAATGTCAGTGTAACAATATTTGATCTATTATACTAACCCCTCAAATAGTTCATTTCTGAAAATTATAGCAAAAGCCAATGATGTACATTCCCTTTAAAACTTTTAAAAATCCATTCGACCAATGGGTTTTATGGTTCAATGTCTCTTTGTAAAGTGAATAATTTTTTCTCAAGAAGTAGCAATTTTAGAGAGCAACTTAATTTTTAGAGTTTTCACCGCAATGACACATTGATGTTCATATTTCTCCCCCTCCCCTTTCTCAGGAGTATATCCGCCCATACCCTGACCAAGCCCAGCCGTTGCTGTCAGCCATCTTGACAAACTGTAACTTAGCCGGGCTTCTAGCCCCGAACCTTGCCCCTAACCACTGCGGTGACGCCTTCGTTCAGATGTACAGCGACGTGGTACGGATCAGCATAAGCGATAATCAGGACACAGCATTTATGCTTCTAACTAAGGTAGACAGGGCACTGTATGTAGTTTGTTTGTTTGATTTGATCCAATTACTTGATTCTAAGTAGGTTTTTGTTACAGAAGCATATATCATGTATCATGATGTGTATCATGGGTGGCATGGCAGGCTTGTGCGTAAAGCGCTCGCCTCTCATTAAGGTGACTACAGTTCAAATCCTGGCCGCGTTTCACATGTGAGTAAAGAGTTGTGCGTGTGTTCTCTCCTGTGCCACGAGGGTTTTTCTCCGGGCCCTCCGGTTTTCCTCTCTCTGGAAAAATCAAACACTTTTGATCTCAGGCTGTGCTCCGTGGTCATGTATGGGTCGATGTGGCCGGCAGCCATAGGCGCCGTTACGTGCCAGCGGCCCGACCACGTTGTAGCCGCGTACTTCGCAATTCAGCATACCAGCTGCGAGTAAGGATGATTAGCCTCCCAAATTATTATTATCTCTTTCGAGAGTTGTGTGTGGTTCTGAGAAGATTCAGTTAATTTGTTAACCAGTTAATGGAGTTTAACATTAATTACAGGCATGCAACTTTTCCTCAGATCACTTCTTAGGCTTGGTGTTTCCTTGTTTTTGCTGGTCCCAGAGAGCCAGCTGAGTGTTCTCTTTGTACTTAACTCAATAGACCTTTATCAGGGTAAGCCATCTTGAAAATCAAAACGCGGCATATAACGCAGACAAACATGGCGTGGCGTAAATAGTGTGTGCGGTGAACGAGTGACTCTCGCATAGTTACAGCAGATTGACACTCTTATAAAATGCATGGATAGCTCAGATTCCCCGAAACATCAATCAATATTCTTGGTGGGTCACGTCTCATTGTGTTATGAAGAAGGATCTTATAAATATAAATCCCAAAACCAGTGGCCGAACTGAAGTTTCTGTTTTAACTTATTACGCGTAGCAACGCCGTCAGAGGAACGTCAAGACTTTCTATTTTCACTTTTCCATTTGCGACATTTTCTGAGCCGAAGTTGCACCTGTTTTAGTAGGTACTTGCATTAGGGGGCTATCCGCAAATTGTAATTCGCCCAGGACCTGTCACTTCCAAGAAATAAAGAGGAACTGGAGCCCCGTACGAACAGGGGAATTTGAGCTATCCATCCATTTATAAGAGTGTCAATCTGCTGTAACTTTGCGAGAGTCACTCGTTCACCACACCCACTGTTTACGCCACCATGTTTGTTTGCATTATATGCCTCGCTTTGATTTTCAAGATGGCGTACCCTGATAAAAGACTGTGCGTTACTCGTAGACTTGTTGCCTAGTCTGGTTCCGCACTTACATTATCGTTGTGATGTTATATTCAGGGGGGCGGGAATCAGACCTAAAGAAATTACTTCCCTTTAAAAAAAAGAAAAAAAGACTTCCAGTGAATGGCCATTCTGAATCCATTGAATTGAATATGACTTTCTAGTTTATTTTTCATTGTAAGTATTTGGGGGGGGGGGTCAAAACTAGCAATTTCACAACTGTTGTGTTTCTTTTTTCCATCTAATGATCAGTTTGACCCAGCCCAGTGGCTGAGCAATTGCCAACCGGTCATGGCGGTCCGTTCCCATTTCATCGAGGTGGTGGGTGAAGCGCTGACTAGCTGTGGCCTGGAGATGGACAACCGAAGCATGATGATGTTTGAGATCTACCGGAGTCACCTGCAGGCCATGCTCATGCATCAGTTCCCTGAGCATTACGGAGACGTGCTCAGACTGGTTCTGAAAGGTTCGTAGCCTGACAGTTCTTAAACCGCAAAAGTCTTGACTTAAAGGGAAACTACAACATTTGCAAACACCAAAAAATAAAACTACCAAATCATTTTGAAATACCTTACTGGACTGTTAGTGAATGACAGTGTAAAGCATCCTGTAAAATCATGGCACCTGGTATACTGTCATTTTCAAGAAAAGTGGTATTTTTGTATCAATTTCCAACGCTGGTCGGCCGACCAGTGTTGGAAAAACTGGCTTTTTTTTCAAATACTAGCCCCAGTTGACCATCGCACTTGTTTGCAATCGATTACACACCTATGAACGGGTACAAGCCAGCTAGACTGGTTCCCTGACCTTACAATTCCCCAATGTATGTAAACTGCTCTGTTTCTTCTTATATGGAGTCAGGGAACCAGACTACAGGAAAATGATTGTTTTTCTTGGTTTTTATAGCATTTTCGAACCCAAAACTCATAAAAGTCAGTGTTACTATATTTGCTATATATTTCCAACCCCCCAATTCCATCCATTTCTGAAAATTACAGCAAAAGCAAATGATGTATATTCCCTTTAATCCCAAAATATTTTTTTTGGGGGGGGAAGGGGAAAATCCTGACCCCTAGTTGACATCAATAGTGCAGTGACTAATTTTGTGAAATTTGGTATGTTAGTAGAAACATTCATTCCTAGTACAAATGAATGCATATTATAAATCCTATCAGGTTAAGCATTTTCTAATTATGGTCATCAGACCTTTTTCTTGAATATTGCGTCCAATTTTTATGAAATTGGAATCAAAACGTCTGCAAGACATCTGCCTACAAACTAACAAAGACTGTTTTTCATTGATGTGTGTATTTTGATCTATTCGTCTTCTTAGGTTCTGAGGAGCATTGTCTACATGAGGACATCTGGTCTGATACCCTGAAGTCTCTTGGCTGTCCCATACTGACTGTCACCTCCGATTCCATCAGTCAGGATCAGGTCAAGGTGCTGATCATGACACAGCCACTGCTCTCCCTTCAACAGGTATGGCTACGGCTTGTGTATATGTTCATTGGCGTGTGTCTATGGAAGCGGCTAACGCCACTTCTCATAGACAAAGTGTTTTACTGCTAGCCGTAGTCAAGTAATGTGGACAAAGCCTTAGCCTTAGCACTTCAGGTAGAAGGGTTATAAGTCACTGCAGGTTGTCACAAGTCATTCAAAAGTCACAAGCAATTCAAATGATCTAGGATAAAGATATTAATGTCAACGTTCGTCCCCTGTTGCTTTGGACCTGATTTGTGATTGACTTGTGATTAATGTGATTGACTTACGGTTGACTTGTGATTGACTTGTGATTGACTTGTGATTGACTTGTGATTGACTTGTGATTGACTTATGATTGAGTTGTAATTGACTTGTGATTGACTTGTAATTTACTTGTGATTGACTTGTGATTTGACTTGTGATTTGACTTGTGTCTGACTTGTGATTGACTTGTGATTGACTTGGGATTGACTTGTGACTGACTTGTGATTGACTTGTGTCTGATTTGTGATTGACTTGTGTCTGACTTGTGATTGACGTGTGTTTGACTTGTGATTGACTTGTGATTGGACGTGTGATTGACTTGTGATTTGACTTATGACTGACTTATGACTGACTTATGATTTTACTTGTGATATGTCTGTGATTTGCTTTGATGTGGTTGACTTTGCTGTAAAGAGCAACTCCGATGAGAAGCAAAACTTAGGTATAACATTAACTGAGCGTAAACCTTGGTTTACTATTAAAAGTCACCGTTGACAAATATATCAGTTTTTGAAAATGCAGACTTTTTGACTCCACTGTGGCTGCACATACGCATTTTCTATACGCAACTGTTTCATGGTAGCTTTACGTATCATGAAAATTAATTTTTTTTCAAATAATAACATATTTCATGGACATTTGTGTGCCAATCCTGGGAGGAGTACAGTATGGTTTGCTTATTCGAGTTGAATTATACCTTAAAAACTTTATGAGAAAAAATCGGTCAGGGAAAAAAAATATTCCCAAATATGAAAAACGTCTTTACCATTTAACTTGGTGAATTTACAGATCAACAGCCAATTGATATCGATCAGAGTTTTACGTCTCTAAGAAATTTAGGCTGTGAATTAATTTATGCATAATTTATACAGTTACAAGAGACAATTGAATGGATGACGACATACTTCAGCCGCCAGCGAAACAACAACCCCCAGTGTGGACAGTTTGGTCTCCATAGCAACTGGAAAAAGTACCACCAGTCATTGGTCAGTTTCCTTGGTTACATCATCCTCAACACCATCATCTTGGAGGCTCAGCGAGTCATCGCGGCAAATCTGGACGTGGAACAAGGTAGGGGCAAAATCTGTGACTCGAAATCTTTGACTCCAAAGGCAAAGATCAATATTAAAACGCTACATGAACCAAAGTTCCATAAATCAAGTCATTGATGATGAGCCCACTGTTTTATATGTAAGACTCAAACCAACTTGGTCACTTGATGGTCATTTGGTTGAAGCGTCTGTACTAGTAACCAGGGGGTCATGGGTTCCAGTCTTACCTGAGCAAGTTATGAATTTTTCCACACAAGAGTATACAGTTCTCATCAAATTACATCAGCAAAGGACTAAACCTGAGATGAGAATTTTAATCTGACTGTTAGTTTTTCTTATGCATTCTTGTTTCCATAGCCGGCATCATGAAAAAAGTCCGTTTTTAACCCCAAAATACAAGTTGATCAAATTTGCTCAAAAGTTCACACGAGGTGCCTAGAGGCCAGAATTGAATACCCTGAAGAGTTCAACTCATCACATTCAGTATCCAATGAGAAAAGAAAACTTTTAGGTTTTTTACAAAATGACCCCAAAACTTCAACGTTTTCCATAGCCGGCATCATGAAAAAAGTCCGTTTTTGACCCAAAAATACAAGTTTATCAAACTTGCTCAAAAGTTCACACGAGGTGCCTAGAGGCCAGAATTGAAATCCCTGAAGAGTTCAAATCATTACATTCAGTATCCAGTGAGAAAGGAAACATTTTAGGTTTTTTACAAAATGCCCCCAAAACTTCAACGTTTTCCATAGCCGGCATCATGAAAAAAGTCAGTTTTTGACCCAAAAATACAAGTTGATCAAATTTGCTCAAAAGTTCACACGAGGTGCCTAGAGGCCAGAATTGAATGCCCTGAAGAGTTCAACTCATAAAATTCAGTATCCAGTGAGAAAAGAAAAATTTCAGATTTTTTACAAAATGCCCCCAAAACTTCAACGTTTTCCATAGCCGGCATCATGAAAAAAGTCAGTTTTTGACCCAAAAAATACAAGTTGATCAAATTTGCTCAAAAATTCATACAAGGTTCCTAGAGGCCAGAATTGAATTCTCTGAAGAGATCAACTCATTACATTCAGTATCCAGTGAGAAAAGAAAATTTTTAGATTTTTTACAAAATGCCCCCAAAACTTCAACGGATAGCCGGCATCATCGAAAAAGTCAGTTTTTGACCCAAAAATACAAGTTGATCAAATTTGCCCAAAAGTTCACACGAGGTGCCTAGAGGCCAGAATTGAATTCTCTGTACCACCCCAACCGCCATGCCTATTTACTCCCTATACTGCCACAAATTGCCTGAGCACTCTTTGGTAGTTTGTTTTGTTTTTTATTTATCACGGAATAATTACAATGTAGTACAGGGTTAAATTAGCCTGATATGGCATGAAATAAACCATATCAAACCAAAATGTATCAATTTGTGAAATTTGTTTGTGGATGTTAAAAACCTATTAAGTCCATATTTTATTCTTGTTTCTCTCTCCAGCCGTGAGACATCTTTGGACCCTTCTGTCAGGCCTCTTCTATCCTTGGATCGTTGCCTTGGAGGTTCCGTCCCCTACAAAGTAAGAGAAGGACATTTTATTAATCCTGACTCTTAAACATTTTTGCTAGGATGCAACCTTACCCCTGCAAAGTCCTCCAACTGCCTCCATTTAAAAATTAGCATACAGCCTCAATCCTTCGTTATTTCTAGAATGTGGTCCTTGGAGGGGTGACCACTGCCTCAATCCAGCAAAATCCTCCAGCAATCACTGTCAATATAGTCCAGGCAATATAAGGTTTGACCTCAAACAAATTGCAACAGCATTTTTTTTACCACAGTGCATTTCTTTAAGGTCCCTAAAATGACATACTAAAAGTCCAAAAAAATCCAAGTGGTGGAAATATGCCTAATTTGCATAAATCGAAAATTGCCGCATATTTTAGGACTTTCACAATGATTTGGTCATATTTCTCATACTATTAGCTTCTTGAGGAACTTTAAACAACAATTTTAGTCCTTTAATTTACATTGATTTCATCATTACTCTAGTCCTAGGTAAATTTCAAGATCCCTATGTTTCCCAAATTTGCCAAATGCGGTATAACAATATGCATAAATGCCGTATATTAATTTGCATAAATTAAAGTTAAAATTATGGCTGTCATGTGTTGACATCACAATTGAATTTTCCCTAATAACTTCTAGTTCAGTTACATGTATGTATACATAATATCACACCACAGAGCATCTCTATATGGTCCCGAAAAAAAAGTACAAAAAAATCCAAGTGGTGGAAATATGCTTGATTTGCATAAATTCAAAATAGCCACTAATTATATGATTTTCATATTGATTTGGCCATACCTCTCGTCCTACATTGCTTTTTGGGGTACTTTAAACAACAATTTGTCCTTTTACATTGATTTCATCATTATTCTAGTCCTGGGTACCCTTCTAGATCCCTATGTTTCCCAACTTTGCCAAATGCCGTATAATAATTTGCATAAATGCCGTATATTAATTTGCATATAAATTAAATTAAAATTATGGCTGTCATGTGTGGCACAATTGAATTTTCCCTAATAACTTCTAGTTCAGTTATGTATCACACCACAGAGCATCTTTATATGGTCCCGAAAAAAAAAGTAAAAAAAAAAATCAAAGTGGTGGAAATGTGCCTAATTTGCATAAATTCAAAATGGCCAATAATTATATGATTTTCATACTGATTTGGCCATTACTCTCGTCCTACATTACTTTTTGGGGTACTTTAAACAAAAAAATTTCCTTTTACGTTGATTTCATGACTTAATCATAATTGAACTGCACAATACCCCTCCCATCACTCTGCACCCATTACCCTGTGTTTTCACAAAGAAAATCACACAACCTGCAGTTGAACTTTTTGCTACCTGGGCAAGACTTGTAGGCCTATCAGGAAGCGCACATCTGGTGCTGCATGGATGGCTACTCAAGCATACAACCAGTTGGGACTATTGGTAGAGTTAACGAAGCCTCTAACGTGGATGGAGTTTATGCAACAGAATTATGCTAATCTTAAAATAAAATGGCTGGTTTGTTTTTTTGTTTTTTTGTCTTTTGCATGGGCATAATAAAATTCTGCACTAAAGTTACGACATTGGTAGAATTGACAGAGCGTCTCACGTCGTTAAAGATTATGAAACATAATTATGCTAATTTTAAGGTAAAATTGCTTTTATTTTGGTTTTTTTCTTGGTCTTTTGCATGGGTATAATAAAATTCTGCGCTGAATTTACGACACCGGTAGACTTGACGGAGCCTCTAACGTCGTTGGAGTTTATGCAACATTTGATTATCTCAATATCAAAAATAAAATGGCTTATGTCTTTTGCACGCATGGGCTTCCTAAATTTCTGCACTGAGATAACGAAAAAAAAGCTTGTGGCTACACTGTCGAACTATTAAATTTCTGCATAAAGGTACGAATTAAAGAATCAGTGTTGATATGCGAGTTATGCAGAAAGAAATCAGAAAAAAAGAATATTAGGTTTGAATGCTTTGTGTGATTTTGTACAAATTTCTGGATCCTCCCCTGGGTTTATTCTTATAAGAGCTGTGATTTTGCAGTCCCTGGTGAACAAATATGATGAAATTATGTGGTAGCAGTACTATTATTGTAAGCAGCCGCTTTCTTATTTGTTCCAACAAATATAGTAAAACGTAGTAAAATGTAGTAAAATACTTCCGCTTCCTAGTTATATTCAGTTTTTATTGCACTTCCGGTAACACCGGAAGTAAAGGTCAAGCGGTTTCGTGTCCGGGAACAAGAAATGTTACTCAAGGCAAAGTCTACAACCTCAAGAAAAAAAATGAACACGATACTCTACTGAGTTCAAAAGTATAGCTCAAACTATTTTGTCAAAATTTGCCCTTCCATCACTTTGCCCTTACATTACGTCATGATGACGTAACCAAATTTATAACATCTTCGTAACATGGTACAAATTCACACTACGTTTTATGATCATCCCGTAAACCGTTCGGAAGAAATTTTGCTTTGTTTTAATTTCAGGCTTAAGTCTTCATTTTGAATTCACGTAACTTTGACCTTCCGGTAGACCCGGAAGTAAAGGTCAAGCGAGTTCACGTACACGACAAAAAATGTTTATCAACTAATGGTCTATCTGATCGCAAAGTTGAAACGTAATTGATCACTTTGTTTAAGAGTTATAAGTGAAAGTATTTGGCCCATTTTTTCTCTAAAATCGCTTGTAATTTGACACCCAATGATGTCATCATGAAGTCAGAAAAATATGCACCACTTGGGACGAGGGTCGATATATGTTGAAAGTTACAAGTTCATACCATATACTGTTTATGAGAAAATCCGCGGAAACTTATTGTCCGGAAAAAAAGAAAGAAAGAAAGAAAGAAAGAAAGAAGATTAATCGTAACAACTCCAACTAGAGGTTCGCGTTTGTTGAGTTACAAACGCAGAGTGGTCGGGCTGGCATATTGTCTTGTGTTTACAATGACTTAATCATAATTGAACTGGACAATACCCCTCCCATTACCTTGCATCCATTACCCTGTGTTTTTCACATAGAAAATCACACAACCTGCAGTTGAACTTGTTGCTACCTCGACAAGACTTGTAGGCCTATCAGGAAGCGCACATCTGGTGCTGCATGGATGGCTACTCAAGCATACAACCAGTTGGGACTATTGGTAGACTTGCCGGAGCCTCTTACGTCGTTGGAGTTTATGCAACATATGCTAATCACATAAAATTGCTTTTTAGGGTTTTTTTTCTTTTGCATGGGCATAATAAAATTCTGCACTGACTTTACGACAGAAAAGGTTGTGGCTACACGCTGTGGAAATATTAATTTTCAGCATTCAGATATGAGAGGAAAACTGGTGAGGCGTGATTTCAATCGGTTATGGAAAGAAATCTTGTTTTCCTTTTATTTGAGGCTAATTTCTATATTTTGAATTCACCTAACTTTGACCTTCTGGCAGCCCCGGAAGGAAAGGTCAAACGACTTTGACTTCCGGATGATGACGCCATCACACTGATTTTGTGTCTGGCATTCTTCACTAAACACTTTTATAGTATAATTATGTGTCTGCAGTAAAATGCTTCCGCTTTTGAGCTATATTCAGGTAACACCGGAAGTAAAGGTCAAGCGGTTTTGTGTCTGGGGACAAGAAATGTTCCTCACGGCATAGTCTACAAACTCACGAAAAAAACGAACACGATACTCTATTTAGTTCAAAAGATATGCGCAAACTATTTTGTCAAAATTTGCCCTTAAATCGCTTGTAATTTGATACCTGATGACGTAACAAAAACTATAACATCTTCGTAACAAGGTACAAGTTCACACAAGGTTTTGTGATCATACCGTGAACCGTTCGGAAGAAATGTTGCTTTGTTTTGATTTCAGGCTCACGTCTTCATTTTGAATTCATTTAACTTTGACCTTCCGGTAGACCCGGAAGTAAAGGTCAAGCGAGTTCACGTACACGGCAAAAAATGTTAAGCGATTAATGGTCTATCTGATTACAGAATACAAACATCATTGAATGTTTAGTTCAAGAGTTATAAGTGAAAGTATTTGGTCACTTTTTCAGTTAAAATCACTTGTAATTTGACACCTGATGACATAATCATGACGTCAGAGTAATATGCACCACTTCGGATGAGGGTCGATATATATTGAAAGTTACAAGTTCATACCATATACCGTTTACTAGAGAAAACCCGCGGAGAAGTATTGTCCGGAAAAAGAAAGAAAGAAAGAAAGAAAGATTAATCGCAACAAATCCAAAGAGTGGTCGGGTTGTGCCCGACCACTCAATCAGTGGTCGGGTTGTGCCCGACCACTCAATCATGGTTTAAGTGGCCATTTTGAATTTATGCAAATTAGGCATATTTCCACCACTTGGATCTTTGGACCTTTTTTAGGGGCCTTATAGAAATGCACTGTGGTGTGATATTTAGTAAATAACTGAACTTGGATTATCAGGAAAATTCAATTGTGACATGTCCACACATGACAGCCATAATTTTAACTTTAATTTATGCAAATTAATATATTGCATTTATGCAAATTATTGTACAGCATATGGCAAATTTGGGAAACATGGGGATCTTGAAAGTTACGTAGGACTAGAATAATTATGAAATCAATGTAAACGGACTACAATTGTCGTTTTAAGTACCTGAAAAAGCTAACGAATATAAGAAATATGACCAAATCAATGTGAAAGTCCAAAAATTTTCAGCCATTTTGGATTTATGCAAATTAGGCATATTTCCACCACTTGGATTTTTTTGGACTTTTAGTATGTCATTTTAGGGACCTTATAGAAATGCACCGTGGTGAAAAAAATTCTGTTGCAATTTGTTTGAGGTTCACTCAAAAAATGAAGTATTTTGCCTGGACTAATATGTTGAGCATGAATATAAATAAATATAAATACATGAATGCGTTGTGAACTTGTTTTCTGTGGTTTTTTTTGTTGGTTGTCTTCAGTCCAAACACGAAGCAGTTGCTCCCACCCTGGGTTGAAGGGGACCGAGTACCAGCCAGTTGCATGGTGTCCATGTTCACACATACCATTGGATGCATACAGGCACAATTCCAAGGTGAGTTTCGTTTTTAGTTTTTACAGTAAATTGGAAAGTTTCCTATCTGTGGGATCGTGCAGTGCGTTGTTCTTTTCATCATAGAAGTTTGCGCTGCGACTTTTAGTTTTTGTTTTATCTTTGTACGTAAACCAATCTTGTAAATTTGTGAGGTATGGTTGCAATAAATAAATAAATAAATAGAAAACTATAAATAACACTGTATTGCATATCCCATAAAAGCCAATAACTCTGGCAGTTAAAGATGTTTCCTTGTGCTCGTCAACAAATTCATTTTGTTTTTCTTTGAATAAATGTTCAACTTGTTTGTCTTTGTTTGGGGAATAAACACTTCTGCTTTGAGAGCAGACTGGCTCCCAATTTGTTCATTACATTTGTTACTGTTTTTCTGATTTTATTGTACATTTCATATAATTTAGCACATGGTTGCAAGACAATTTTTGTTACCAATAAACCATAAACTATATATCAGTTCCTCTAGCTTCAACAGAAGGTCTCCGTCGTTTGTCAAGTGGTTGTGGGTCAGCAGAAATTTCAGTGGAAATCAGACTTTCCAAAAGGAAACTCTTGAATTTCCCACATGGCACAAAGACTCAAACTGCGCTCTCCCCCTGATATCTTCCAGCTGCCACACCCATCAAACCTAATCCTATCAATTCATGCATTATGTGGAAGTCTAGAAGCGCACATCTTTGGGACTTTGTTGCTCTCCAAACGACATAATCTATTTCCTCGGTAAAAATGAAATAAATCTAATAGGAAGTAAAGCCTCATTGCTAACGGTAAATCAAACGTTTGGACGTTTTGTACCTTCCAGTCCCAGCGTGAATAAACCGCTCGACGTCAGTCAACTTCAATCGACCAATCAGACGACAGTTTTGTATATATAAATGAGGTGTTACAAGTTGATGCACGGTGGAAGAAAAAAAAAATGTTGGTGTCTCACGCATTAGGCCTGATTCCCCAACTGGTCGGATCGTAATGGTTTAATCGTTGGAGGAACGGACAGCCAGATTTTGAGAATTATCCAATTTGGCTTCGCATATGGTTGGAATTGTACACGTAGAGACGAAGAACTGATCCACAATAGCTGACCTCCCATGGGTTCCGCCCTGTCAAGATAAAAACCTGTCTTGAGTCATTGCGACGTTCTTGTCACCCCCCCCCCCCTCCCTTTCAACCCCTGTGTACTCTCCTAACCTTGCAAGTATGAGTGATGTCACACTTGTGCAGTTTCTGATAAACACTTGTGACAAGCTCGGCACGTTCTTCGTTTGTTTTTGTTTCAGAATCTCACAAAATCACAAATCAGATTTCTTGCCGCATGCGCAACCGCAAACTTACCCTTATTGCTTACTTCACCATACAAAAAACTTCAAACCTTAGTTGGTAATTTTACTTGTACCTTTGATGAACCTTGATAACGTGAGCTGAGCGATTTGATTGTGGATATCCCATATTACAGTGTGAAGACACTATCCAACAAGACTATAAGCCTATAAGCAAACAAGACTATTGTTCTTTACCTTCGGCTGTTTGAATAGATGATATTTAGAATTGAGAAACATGTGTTTCTGTTTAAAATGAAACAATGAGACATTGTAGTCATCAGTTCTGACGCTAGGGTGTGGCAGGAATGACTTTTGTTCTCGCTATCCCCAGTGGCATTGACGGAAAAAAAAAAATCAAGCTCTTTGCATGCGTCACGGTAATCGCGTCCACCCAGCCGCTAAGTTCCAAACCACATTTTTTTTTCTCTCTCTTTCTCTTTTTCATTTCCAATTAAATCAATTGTTTGGCTGACGGTTAATCCCCACCGGATCGACTTGACAAAAGCTGGCGTGAATGAGGCGCTTCCTGCTTCTGGATGGCAGAAGTACGCTGGCTCTTACGAGCCCAGCGGTTGAGTCAGACGTTTACTGCCTCTGGGGACAGGTAGCGACTGGTCAACAGTGATTCATTGCTTCGCTTGGGGTGGCTAGGCAGATTTTTATTGCCTCTTAGTCAATTTCTTTTTCTCTTTTTTTTCTTTTTTTTCTGAACTTGGGCAGTGCTTAGCTGTCCAGAAATGTCGGGCAGAGGTCTTAAGAACCACGGTTCAACGGATATTATGTAATCCCGAATATAGCATTGCGGTCAGACATCCGAAATCTTCCAACCGTATTTTTCTGAACTAAATTTGCAAAGTACGTTCCTAGTAAAGGAGTTTGACACTCTTTATGCGTCAGCTTATTTTGATTTCGTAAATGAATTTTGTCAGGGCACTTATATGTCTATTACCACACTCTTTAATATACATGTACATGTATATACTCTATTACAGGGTATTCATATCATGGTATTTTTATAAAGGCAAGCTATTTTTTAATAAAATGCGGTATTTTTTTTTCTTTTCTGTTTTCCCACTTGGGACAAAGTCTTAAGTTATTCTGTTCACTTAGAAATGTCAGAGCCAACTCATCAAATGTGTAAGAAGTCTTGTTTTCTTTTCTATTTATTCAAAATTTGATACTTATTGGTGAACAGAGAATTTTGTGACACTAATATAGGTATTCCTTCTGACAAGTGTCCCCGTTTGTTAATGTCCTTGTTTGGGGGAAATTTGTCAGAGGTCATTTTCATGAAGGCTGGTTTATCTGTCCAGCAAACTGCTCTTGTGTGTCCCAAAAGGATATCTGATGAAAAAAAATAATCAGTTCATTGATAGAACAATGTCCTGTTATGCTTTTAAGGTCTGGACAAGCTTGCCGAACATTGAATAAAGAAACAGGAGTATTTGGATTTGGAGAAAGTGCCATGCAGGGTTACCGTGACTTGGCCACATCCATCACAAATTGTCACATTCAAGCATCTATTTCCTTTTCCAACCTTGTCTAATGGAAAGCATCTTGCAGGATTTTTTTGGTTTTCCGTTGGTCAGTGCCCTATTTGGGACAAGGAGAGAGGCGTAGTGACAGTCTTACAGTCATCAATCATTGTCTGTCCGCACTCGGCCGGTACTCGGTTGGTCGTGTTACCAGCCAGATCGCTATGTCAATTTCAGGGTCTGGTATCCTGGGGAGCATTTAATGAAGACGTTGTTCCACCACTCCCAGCCCCGGTGGACTTTATCCTTGTAATGAGTTGCAGCTTTAACCTAGCCTGACACGATCATGATCACGTACGCTTGCCTCTGTCCTAGGACCCTAAGGGTGGGCGCTTGAAGGGAAATCAATCTACTCTCAATTAGGATGATGGTCTGTCTGTGTCTCCGTGGAAATCCTGTCTTGAAAGTCATGAAACCTTTTTGGGGGGAGGAGAGGGGGGTGTGGCAGGAGAGAGGGTGGGGCGAGGTGGTGGAGGCAGGGTGATCTTTGGTTGATTTCTATGTATCAAGTTTAGAGACTCACAATTTAGAATTATTTATGAATATTGTGTATAACGATGTTTTTTTTAAGATGTTGCCTTTAGTAGCTGCTGTGATATTTGTTTATTAAATTGTTATAAGTACATGATTTAGGTTATATGACAGAATGACTGTCTGATAAGTCGGTTGTCGTGGTAACAGTGCACAGAGTTCTGGAAATGTTCCCTATACATTCATTTATGATGGAATTTTCTTTTCTTTTCTTTTTTTGCTGTTTTCAGCACATTTTCCTTTGAAGTTAGCATGCTTTGTATTTTGCTTTCATGAAATGGCTAGGATCTGTTAGCCAAATTGTGTGCTTAGCAGCGCCATGGAATTGTGTCCTAGGTTTTTGAAGCGCTTACTTGCTTCCGTACAACCAATCTGTGTGATCTGATCTTGACTACAGGCTACCTGGACCCTCCACTGGTCAATTCTATGTCCCTTCTCTGGCCGTTCTACCATGACACTCTGGCCAGGAAGGGTCTACGCGAGGACGTCTTGATGACCTACCACCAGCACCTGGTCCTGCTGCCATGGAACCAGTTTCATCCGGACCTCGCCTCCATGGAGCTCATGGTTCGGGTGAGTCCAAGTAGATGTTCAAGACGTTACTGTTCAAATAATTGCTGTTCCCAGTTTTTTTCACCATCACAAATCTGTAGTGTTTTTGTAAAGATCAAGTGGTCAATGAATCTTGCAAACTGTAACCAATCATTGAGGAGGGCAATCCATGCGGCACCTCACTCGTCAATTTTTGTTGGCGTGACTGTGAGCTAAAAGAGAACTTCCGGTGAAATTACTGTTATTCGGTTTGAAAAATAATAGGATAACCGGTTTTTGAAATGTTTGATTTCTCTAACCATCATATAGAAGCCTATATAGAATAACTATTAGCCTTTTAATCAGGTGTAATTCCAAATTGCATATCGTGGCTCTCTGAGTTAGCTGAACTTTCATCTGAACATTATTCTGAAAGGTGTTTGAGGACAGGGGACCGGTCTGCCTGACGTTTCTAGGCAACATCTTCCCTCGTATCCCGTGGCGACAGATCTCAGATAGCTACTGCCAAGGGACAGGCGCTGAGACCTCCAACGCCTTCCTATCCAATCTACTCAGTCTGCTGGTCATCTTCCTGAACGAGGACAACATCATGAAATCTCAGGTAGGTTTTGTTTATCACCAAACAAGAGATCGTGCGCAAACAAAAGATCGCGCTTTTGAGAGCCCAGTGGCTGGGGGGCACTGTGTGCGCGTTATGATAGGCACGCGTATGGCGCTAAAGTACGCACGACTAATTTTTATTCTGCATGCACCTAAAGCCATCAATAGCATCTTTACGTGAGCATCAGCTTTCGTCATCATGCGTTCAAATGTCTCTCCCAGTGTTCTCCCCCAACTCTCCCTTTCTCACCGTTGAGGGGGTACTTTTGAACGGTGCCCATCAAATCTTAAAATGTTAATGGTTAAAAAAATCCCATGTACAAAAAAATGGAAATGTGCAAATGTAACTTTTTTTTGGATAGACAAAAATGAATCAGCACTTTAAAAAAATTAGCTGCTGCGGGAAAGTACAAACTTTGACTTAACAAATATGTTTTTAAAATTTTTACTGTTATATTTTATGTATATATTTATTTGCTTTTTTTTGGAGGGGGTTGTTTCTTTTTGGTTTTGTTTGCAGAAATATGGTCATTGGTCAATAAACGTCCAATGTCAGCCTGTAATCTCACCCTCTGTGTATTCTGAAAAATTGTTAAAAGTTGACTAACAACTTCCTGGGAACTTGGTTAACGGAAGTCGTTTATTACCTTGCTAAGCCGATGGATATACATATTGTTCTACACCCAAAATCAGCCAAGTTATTTGTAATACCTTACCTCATGCTTGAGGAATTTATTAAAACAACCGGGCGTACATTGGCTGCAGGCTCAGATTGTCACTCAAACATTTAAAATGTAAAAACATTTTGCAAAATCTTGGTCCTGCCGAAGCAGGAGCAAAACAAGAAACAAACAGATAAACAAAGATAAAAACGACACAACAAAATGAACATATTAGGACATGGTGATTTCTCTTTGTTGTCAGGGTGCTTCAATGCAGCATCTCATAGCCCAGGCCAAGGAGTTTCCATGGCAACTGCTGGACGTGACTTCCTACAACTGTGCAGTGACGTGGCAAATTGACCGCTGCGACCCGAGGCACGTCTTGAATCAGAAGAACGGGAAAGGGGACACGTCTATCAGGTACGTCAGTAATCAAGGCTTCTTGATCAGTGTGAGTAAGTAACTCACGATCTTCGAATGAGGATGAAGTAGTTGAAGTAGTTGCTTCTAAATAGAGGGCTCTTTAGCCGAGTGATGTTTCTTGTACCCACCTTTCTATCCAAGTGTGCTGGTGAGTGCTCATCGCTTTCGCAGTTAGAGGAAATTAATATTTTGCAATGCATATTGCGGGTATGATCAATCATTTATGCATGTATTGCGTGTGCACATGAAAGTGTTAACCCTGGTTAAAGATACTCTTTCCAGTGAAAGCTCCTAGAAATTAGAGATCATTGGCGCCCTTTGGTATGGCAAGTGGGTGCAAGTGAGACTTAGCAAAAGTAGAAGTAGTTCTTAACGTGGCTCTGCAAAGTAGAAGTGTTGCCAGTTCACATCACCGTTCATACAAAAAGGGGAATCTCTGTATTAAACATCTTGGTTGTGAATGCCCACTTGTTTGTTTAAATACTTAACCTCATTAATATGCACTAGATACTCGTTAATATGCATGCATTGCTGGAAGTATAGCAGCTTTTTTTGGGGGGGGGTGGCGGGTGTCATGGGGTGGAATTAAAGGTATAGTCCATCATTTGTAATTTGTGCATTTTGTTCGTTTGAAGCAACAAAAGTGCTCAAAATCTAAAGAAGGGTGCTGAACAACTAACCTGATGAAGTTTCAGCTCAGCTTCAGCTGTATATTTCGAGAAAAACAACATACTAGGATCTCGATTTCTAATCAAAAGTTGCTGAATCATGTTTTGAATTGGGCCTGAATTCAGATTCGAGACACGTTCTCACTAGCCGATTGCAGCTACGCGATGTCGCGCACCGATCCGACAAATTATAGCAACCGCGCGCGCATGGACGTCGTGTCAACGCTTGAGCGTGCTTCGCCAAATAAAAAAACAAACTACTAACGGAAATTTCCAATGGTGCTTCTTAAGACGCACCGTTGGAAAGGCCTTCTTTCGTTGATTTCTTCAAAATGACAGCTTGCCAGAAAGAATAATTTCACAGGGAGTTTAGTCCCCTTACTATCTTTCAACCAAGTATGTTTTTCAACAATAATTACGCCAGTTACTTTTTGGATAGCTGCAAATGATGGACTCTGGCTTTAAGTTGAGGGTCCAAAACCCCAACCCTTTTCCTCCTCCCCTCACTGATTCAGATGCAGGGATATCTGCAAAAAAAACCCTGATATTTTCTATACTTAATTGTAACTTTTTTACTAGAATTTGTAACAAGTTTGATTCCAAGGGTTCTTTTACTTTTCAAATGTTTAGATTTTGTGAGGCCAAATTCCAGGTTATTTCCTCAGTTGTAGTTCCTCTTATTTTAGTCTTCATTTTTTGTCACCAATACTTTCTGATGCAATTTTTCCCCTTGAATGCTGCATTGCCCTATCTCTGCTGCGTTGTGTAGATCTGATTCATCTGTTGATGGCAGTTCCCCTATCTCTATGAGGTGAGAATTCTCTCATGCAAGAAAAATACTTCATGTCCATTTACAAAAATCACTCATGGAAAGTGCTTATTTTCATTTCACAGATTTTGCTCAGTAGAAAAATGCAGGGTTGTCCCTATAGGACATTGTTCAAAAGGGCGAAACTTTAAATGATATTTTTGTAAAATCACCCTCTCCCCCTAATCCCCAAAATCTCAAGAAATTTGAGTATTTAAAGAAAACCACTAAAATGCAGATCACATGTAAATTGATGGCATCAACGTAGTATTTATTTACAGACCTCACTCATCTATTTCACTGTTAATTCCAAACAGGTGATTCAACTTCATGTAATTTCGAGAGTTTTATTTTATTATATCTCAGAGTCTTGAGTTAAAGGGAAAATACAACATTTGCAAACATCAAAAAATAAAACTACCGAATCATTTTGAAATACCTTGCTGGACTGTTAGTGAATGACAGTGTAAAGCATCCTGTAAAATCATGGCACCTGGTATACTGTCATTTTCAAGAAAAGTGGTATTTTTGTATCAATTTCCAACGCTGATCGGCCGACCAGCGTTGGAAAAAACTGGCTTTTTTTTCCAAATACTGGCCCCAGTTGACCATTGCAGTCTTGTTTGCAATCGATTACACACCTATGAACGGGTACAAGCCAGCTAGACTGGTTCCCTGACCTTACAATTCCCCAACGTATGTAAACTGCTCTGTTTCTTCTTAAATGGAGTCAGGGAACCAGACTACAGGAAAATGACTGTTTTTCTTGGTTTTTATAGCATTTTCGAACCCAAAACCTCAAAAAGTCAGAGTAACTATATTTGCTATATATTTCCAACCCCCCAATTCCATCCATTTCTGAAAATTACAGCAAAAGCAAATGATGTATATTCCCTTTAATCACGAGAATAAAGCAATCCCGGTAGCCGACAGACTAAATGGCTTGTGATTGACTTGTGATGACTTGTGATTGACTTGTGTCTGACTTGTGATTGTCTTATGACTGACTTGTGATTGACTTATGATTGACTTGTGATTGACTTGTGATTGACTTGAGATTGACTTGAGATTGACTTGTGATTGACTTGTGACTGACTTGTGATGACTTGTGATTGACTTGTGATTGACTTAAGATTGACATGTGATTGACTTGTGAATGTTTGTGATTGACTTGTGTTTGACTTGTGATGGACTTGTGATTGACTTGTGATTGACTTATGATTGACTTGTGATTGACTTGTGATTGACTTGAGATTGACTTGAGATTGACTTGTGATTGACTTGTGACTGACTTGTGATGACTTGTGATTGACTTGTGATTGACTTAAGATTGACATGTGATTGACTTGTGAATGTTTGTGATTGACTTGTGTTTGACTTGTGATTGACTTGTGATTGACTTGTGATTGACTTGTGATTGACTTGTGATTGACTTGTGATTGACTTGTGATTGACTTGTGACTGACTTGTGATTGACTTGTGACTGACTTGTGATTGACTTGTGATTGACTTGTGATTGACTTGTGATTGACTTGTGATTGACTTGTGATTGACTTGTGACTGACTTGTGATTGACTTGTGATTGACTTGTGATTGACTTGTGATTGACTTGTGATCACAGCTGCAGTTACAGTTCTGGACTGCACCATATTTGCATGTTTTACGGCTTTCATTTTTGTTTTTTTATTTTAACATATCTCGTTTTGTTATCTCTAGCTGCCACAAATGCATGAGACATGTTCTGCAAGAACTCACAGCAAAAAATCTCAAATCTATAGCCCCCCACCCAAAAAAAATCCATGCTGTAAACCAAGAACCCTCTCAGTTCGTTTAAGGTGTTGCACCTCTGCTTCAAAACAAACTCTTAACTTCATTCACACATTTAACAAAGTTGTTCTTTACTGCCCAGTTTACTTCAGGACATATGAAATATACCTATTATCAAAGTTGTCATCAATATAATCTAGGACTATCAAGGATTATGAAATATACCTATCATCAAAGTTGCCATCAACATAATCTAGGATTATCAATTCATTTTTTGTTTTTCAGTAATGATTTTGATTAATCGAGAAGCTGATTTCTTTTTTCCGCAGTTGATAAGTATAAGTATAAACTGAAGATTCATTTACCAAGAACACACTCACTTTATCATAAAATTTTGTATTGTCATTATTTTCTCAAAGTCTGCTTTTGTGTTTGTCACTTACCTGTGAAAAAGGAAGGCTTTTGGCCTGAAATTGTTTTATTTCTGCAAGCTCATGCACTGTGTTATTGAAAACCTTCATTATCATTCGTGCTTTTTATGTGTTGAAATCAAACTACGTGTAAAAAGGCCATGGAATTTCCCGCAATGGGATGATAAAGTTTTTATTGTATTGTATTGGATTGTATTGTACCAAGTCATTTTCGATTAATCAAAGTGAAAAATGTAGCCAAATAAGTAACTGACACTTCGATCAATTAATCAAATAATTTTTTTTTCAAATTTGAACAAAGAAATTGACTGGAGCAGGGTTTGAACCTGCGACCTCCGAATAGCTGTTCCAGTGCTCTACCAACTGAGCTATTCGGGTTTATGGCTTCTGACTAGCGCCCTTTGAACAAAAGACCAATTGGTTAACAACCACCTTATGGGGCTGGATAGCTCAGTTGGTAGAGCACCGGAACAGAAATCCGAAGGTTGCAGGTTCAAACCCCGCAAATTTCTTTGCTTCCCTTTGTGGTTTACTTAGAAATGAATCAAATACTCCGATGATCATTACCAGCCTATTGTCATCTCATTTCAGTTTGATGCGTGGAGTGGCTAGGTTCAACACGCCGTCCTCATTAGATTCTGCAGCCGATGCTTCCAAGCGTGCAGCTTATGTCAAGCTGGTAGTCCAGTTGCTGTGTAAATGCTCCAGCTTGGATGACACCCGCAAAGACTGGTTCCCCGCGCCCGTACAGCGGTTACTTAATGATATTGAGCTGTTAGCTACAGCAGGTATGCCGGGGACCAGTTTCAATCTTGGTTTGCTTTATGTAATGAATTGGGTTGTTTTAGCCATTTTAACCGTCATAAAGAAACTTTCAATAGTCAGTAAAGGCCAGGAAGCTATAAAATACATAGTTCATAGTGTTTAGGAATTCTCTGGAAACATTAATTACGTTATTCATAAATGTTAAAAAATAATAGGCGATATTTCACAGATTGTGATCTTCTCTCGCTTAACATCGTGCAGTTTCCATAGTAAAACTGTCTCTTCACAAAAGCACCATATTCTTGAAGCCTCCTCAAATCTGGCTAAAATTTGGGATCACCCATGTTGTGTTTCTGAAAATCTCACTTCGCCTCTTTCAATTATTCCTCAAAAATTTGTGATAGTTCTGTTTTTTAGAAATGAGCAAATAACTCCCTAGATACTGTAAATCTTTTTGGAATAATTTGACATTGTTTCATTATTGTTATTTGTTTGTAGGTGGTCCGACTGCAGACAGACAGCAAGAGCTGGTGTCCCTCCTTTCAACTCTCCTAACCCTTCTCAACAACTGCTCTCCGGTCTACGGTGCGGCCGATGCCATATTGGAAGCCATATTGTCCTGGTTTGAAGCGTCGACGAGCAGCGCCCTCGGTCTTCCGTGCATCACGGCTGCGTGTCGTACCCTAGCGTCGGTCAAACATTCGGCCCTAGTGGTGGAGGCTTGCATAGAGGCTCACTTTAATACAAGTAAGAACATTGTCGCTATTCATGTTTAAACAGGGAACATAAATCTTAACCCATTAATTCCTTTAGCGCCCCTAACCACCCTGCCTACCACTCCCTGTACCGCCCTAAACTGCGCCGTTTTTGTATGGTTTATATTTTTATTATTATAATTTTATATCTGGTATTGAAACCAAGGATTCCTCAAAAGCTCATAAACCTGAAGAATCCTGTAGAGAGAAGACAGTGACAAGAACTTAAAGTTTTAGAGGTGGGAGGAAAACCCCAGAAGAACATTCTGGGGCAAAAACTACAGAATCAGGTAGGGACTGAAAACCCAATCCACATGTGGACCAGGTCAGGAACTGAACCTGGGCCATGGAGGTGGAAGGCTAGGAGGGGGCCACTGCGCCAACCTGACTCCCCATATTGGTTAATCACCTTATCACCAGTGTTGAAGTCGATCAATCGCAAGTCCCCACTAGTTCATCACTCGTCCTTCAGTGTCAATTTCAATTCACAAGCTATTCAAATGAACCGTGACAAAAGTATTCCTTTGTTAGTGGGCATTCCTTGTTTTTTTGTGGCTGGACTTGTGAAATGACTTGTCAGGTCTCAGTTGTGATAGACTGAACTACAACACTGCCTTTCACCATTTTTGGTATTTTTTTTGGACATCCATGCCCACAACATGGGTTCATTTGGGGTTTGCAACTTAACTGTTCACATTTTCCCACAAGAGGGCCAGTATAAGTACATGGCCAATAATACATTGTTAGCGTTTCTGCAAAAGTACTTACAATACCCTTTCCTTCCAGATATGGACTTGTCCCCAGACCCCTCCCGTGGCTGGACCAGCATCCTGCAGGTTGTCCAGATCCCAGAGCTCACCCACAATGAGTTCCTTGAAGAGTGCTCCAAGCAGGGCGCCATACTGACCCTCTTTGCCTACGTGGGTCAGAGGTCGCCCCAGTGCCGGACTCTGGAGGAGGAGTGTACCTTGTACACGGAGTTGATCGACTGGTGTGTCAAGATCAAAGTCAAGTAAGGAATCCAATTTTATTTTTCAGAATATGTTCCTGTTCGAGGTTGAAGGGTAGTTGCTTTAACGCTAAAAGGCGGGTTTTCTTGGGACCATTTTACAGAACTCGGTTGTGAAGCACCGAAATAGAATAAAATTTGGCACACCTCTAGAGCAACTGACCTATCGCCATTTGCGAGTTAGCCACGCCCCTCAGACAACCCTGTGAAATTTTGTACGTTAAGTTTTGTTTGTCTCAGATTTTGCGCGCTCCGCGTCGATTTGTATATCATGTTATTGGACAGTATTTCACAAGCTGCCTTGACGCGATTCTACCGTGAAAGGTTAATTTAATCTGAACATATTCACAGAATTTGATTTTCAAAACACAGTGATTTTTTTTAATTATTGAAGTTGTAAGTTAGCACACTGTTACCACAGCAAGCTGTACTATCCATGTAATGTATGTAGGGAAATGCAATTTCTATTGTGACAACCCTCAAATAATGTCACGCAGTGCGGTGACACTAAGGTCAATTTCCATAAATTTGGCATCAAAACATACACCAGACTTGAAGCTAGAAAGTCTGAGCGTATCAGCAGACAGTACGGGTGCACACGGCGTACATCTACATTAAGGCCTACACACTGGTAAGTTTTGGAACACCACATGGGCCAGCAGTTCAGGGGTACGCAAAGTACTTATTGTCGCACCGATTGAATTAATGACAAACCCAACGCCTTGGTCAAGGCTAGGCAGTATGGGAACTAATGTATTAATCCGCTTCGTCCTTTTAGACCGGCCAACGAGGCCAAAGTCTTCCTGTGGTGGCACAAGGCCTTACAGATGACCATCCATCAGGTTGAATTCGGCTCACCCCATTGGACGATGTCACGCTCCTTAAACAACCTCGTCCCTACCATGATGACGCTGGGTGAAGACCGTAGCTCCTCGGGGCTTCTGGGGGCCATCGGGTTCGGAAGACAGTCGGAACTTTCTTACAGGTACTATTAACCACGGCATACTCAATATCATGGAAAAGAGGCAGAGTTCTAGACCGAAAGGTGGTTGTTGTTGAAACTTAGAAAGTTGAGAAAAAAGTGAATATTTCGCAAGAAATATGTTTGTTTTTTTATTTACGTTGTAAATAAATATACATATTGGGAGGTTATCTTTTTTTTATATAGAGAAATATTTGTGGAGGTATTTTCAATTCTTGTTGAATGTTGAGAAACCTTGGAATTAGAGGGCAAGTTGAGGGGTGTATCTAGAAAGATTGGGAGTAGGGGTACCGGGTATGTTGGACACCTGATAATGTCCCCCCCCCCTCCTCCCGTAGAACGGTGGCTGATCACAGCACATCATTGCTTTCTTCGCTTTAATCTATGCATACACTGAAAACCTGTTTTGTGGTATTTGTAATAAGTATCATGAAGGTCAGACTGTGAATTGAAAATTTCTTAAAAACATTCCAAGATGCAAAGGCCAATTGACATTGTCGGAGATAAAATGCAACTGCCAATATTCTCCAATAAACAGGTAGGCCCCTAATCGAAAGAGACCAAATTTACAACATTGTCAAAAAGACATCCTGACACCCCACTGCTTTAAACTATTATGCTAGGGGACAGTCATAATTTTTTAACGTCACTCCCATGTTTTTGTTATACAGATTTCGCATCATTGCCAGATGCATGGCTGCGTTTATATCGGCCCAAGTCCTGCGCAACGGAACGATACGACTGGCGCCCAATGAGCTCGGTGCCCTGAGCAGAAACCGAGAGACCCAGGCACAGTCGCCGGGGTCCCCGGACGCCCCAAAGCCCTCAAGTTTGGCTTACACCGCTCTGAAGCAGCTAGACGCCGCCATCGACAACAGGAACTATGTAGGGCTGACTGAGCACGCTCGGTACGCGAGGGACGCTGTCCTTAACCCAGCCAAGTGCATGATGGATGCCACACACCTCCTGTGCCAGTTAGTGACAGTCATGTTTCCAGAGAAGCACTATTTGTCCATCATCAGGACCCTATGAACATCATTGATTGAGATTGTAAATAATGAGTGAAGAAATAACTGCAATATATGCTGTGGGTTGGTCTTTCAGTAATGGGTCAGTGCATGAATTATAGAGGGGGCTATTTAGCCTGCACGTGAGAGGAAAGTGAGGGCAATGAAGAGCAAGTTTGAGCGGCGACTAGTGTTAACCATAGTTCGGCTAACTTCTCTACTCTAATCGGCTATTTGGAACCGAAACCTGAGGCACGGTTCCATCACTGGTTATCAATAGCTGCGTGCATCATAATGCATAGCAGGGAGCCAGGACAAAGGAGTTTTGTGATGACATTTAGACAAGTTTTTCAACAAGAGGCGTTCGCGCGATGCCATTAGTGCGCAGGCCTAAGTTACGTCACAAATCAATCTTAAGTCAATTAATGATCCTCGCCCGAACTTGATCAAAGTTAAGCTCCATTTGTGAACGGTGTTCAGCTTACACTCTTTGGTGGGAGAACCATTTTGAAGCAGGTATATACAGACCAGCATTCGCACACTGATGACAGACCTTTCATAGAAATGTCATTCCAATGTGGACCTCTCGTAAGGTCAAAATAACAAAACGTGATAATTGTTTGGGAGTCAGGTTGGTGTAGCGGTACTTTGCTCGCCCTCCACCGCTGTGACCCGGGTTCGAATCCTGCCTGGGCCAACATGTGGATTGGGTTTTCAGTCCCTACTTGATTCCGTGGGTCTTCCTCAGAATACTCTTCTTGGCTTTTCCTCCCATCTCTAAAACTGTAATTTCTTCACATTGTCTTTTCTTTACTGAGACCCATGGGAGATCAGTGCATTTCACCAAATGAGCTACCCAGTTAAAATAAGAAATAAAAAAATAAATAAATATTGTGAAAAAGATGATCTCGTTGAATATGGAACGTTTGAAAGCAAAGGCAAAGCCTATAGCTAAACATGTACTTTCAGCAAATCGGCAAATCAGGAGGAAAGGGCTATGTGTGACATTATGCCTCTTTCTGATAATTACTGTAAAATTTTATTCAGATTGAAATCTTTTGTAAGATGGTTTAACCATCTTACTTTATGTTGATTAATCTCAAATATGTCACATGAATGATAAAGAAAACTGTATTTTGCTTTCCTACTAAGAAAAAAACATTAACATCGTACTTTGCTGCACTTGGAAAAGTAAGGTTAACATACTTTTGGCCACAAATCTGGACTATCTTTGGCCATTATAGGCCATCAGCCTCGGTCCAAAATTTTGGCCACCGGTATCAAATGAGGGGAATAATCGTCATAGCGATTTTTGGCAAGGTATACACCTCCAGAGTTGGAAAATATGTGATAGCATTGCAGCGGGGGCAGATTTTTGGGTGTTATCACCTTTTTTTTCAAAATGTCCATCAAAATGCTTGTTACCACTCTAGGGGCGGTATACCTTGCGCATGCGCACTATAATCATTTATGCCCTGATTTGATACTGACCAAACCCCCAGGCTGATGGCCTAACAGTATATTTCTTTTCTGCATAAAGTTGATTTTTTTGTTCTTGTTTAAAGATCCTTCTCCACAAATGATTATATATTTTCTATCATAATAAAAATTTATTCTTTTAAATTAAAAGTTACAAACTTTTTAGGTTTTTTTAGGCTTTAGTACAAAAAGTTTGACAAATGTCGACACATTTTGATTAATCTATGCCTTTAATATTGTTTTTGCACAAGAATTCACTCGAAAGTGTATTGACAAAACGTCTACAAGCTTACAAATTTGACTTTAAAATGAATTAAAATTGCAGACAATTTTCAAGATTTCTTTTCTTCAGTTTTGCCCGAGAGTGAGTGAGCAAGCTTTAATACTGCCAGATAAATAAAGAAGGCATTTTTGTGAACCAGTTGCTCACAGTAAAGCGACGTCACATGCCATATCGGAGGGTTACCAGTTATTTCTCAACGTTAACTCTGCTCGGCCAATTATGTTATTAAAGATAAAAATCTGCTGTATATACATGTATTCCGGCCCCTAATTAATAACAACGATGATTTTTCACTCATTGACGCAGTTCCAAATAACTCTTTACTTAGTTCACAAATCCTTGTAACTAGTTCATACTTGACGTCAGGCCTTTGTACTCAGTACTCTTTGTGTTTTTTCCCAGTTTTCAAATAATTCGTTTGAAGAAAAGATTATATGAATGGAAACGGAACAAAAGATGTAAGAATAAAGTAAAGTATATGAATAAATGGATGTTCTAGTATCTATCCAGTTCAATGATCTTGATGTGTTTATGTTTGTTGTAAATTGCCAAGCAAATGAAATTTGCATATAAAACTGAATAAATATAAATATAGCAATGCTAAATAATTGTTAATTTCGTGTTTTTGTGTTTTGAGACTTTGCATTGCATGACTGTTTCAAAACAGTGATACCCCTGGTAATCACGTTAATTGGGTTTGTGGATTTGTGTACATTGTGAATGTGTACGTTGTGAAACACGTACGCGCACACGAACCCACCCGCACATTATGTGTCATGTACACAGAACTCTCGAAAAAAATTTGCCATGTACTGTTCATTTACGCAGTGGCGGATCCAAGGGGTGCAAAAGGACCCCCCCCCCCCCCCCCCCCCCCCCCGTAGCAGCAACCAATTTTTTTTTCAAATAAGGCCATTTGTCACTTGAGAGAGCCCTTCCACACCCCCCCCCCCCAGTAGTAGTCTCCCTGGATCCGCCCTTTGTCACAGAGTCCATTCCAACATGTACATGTATAGCTGTCTGTAACCCTTCAAGCGAGCCTCAAGTAAATTATCTTTGACTGCTTTACTTACTTCCATCATCAGCATTTTAACGCCGCCCAGCATCCGTTAAAAACTTCTGACAAAACTTTAAAAGAAAAGAGATTGACAGCAATACACGAGGGACATTCAAAACATCTTCTTTCGTTTTTTTTGTTTGAAAGGTGTTGATTTAATTATCGCCTCAAATGACTAAGCTGTTTTATTCCAGTGATGGTGCAGATTGTTTCGGCGACGGGGGAATAAAACCCCTTAATTATCTCAAATCAAGTCTGTCAAGGAAGCCTGCGTTTGTTTGTTATCAACTTCTGGCCAATAGTTAGTTTGCAGTTTCACACTTTTAGGCTATCGTTGACACCTTAAGAATTTAGAGGCAAGGCCGCTCTATGGGTAACGTTTCACTGCTCTCTTGACACTGCAAATTAAAAAAAAATCCATTTTTGTTTTTCCTTAAGTTAAGAAACCAAATGACAATATTTTCCAGAGAAGATACTTGGGCTTGGTCATTCCAACATGAAAAAGTTTCCTCTGCATTTGTCTATTTTGTTGACTGTTTAAAATGACTTTCCCAAAGCATGGCAAACAAAGAAATTATTTTTATGATCACTTTCTTTTCTCATTTGTTAACCCAACCTCCACAATTTTATGACCAATTTTTTTTTCCCAAAAAAATGACCAATTTTATTCCATCAGCTCCACTAGCATGACTTGTTTTCCAAATGCTTCAATTTATTGTCATTCCAGAAATGTAAATAATGGTTTTGCATTTCACTACCCCTGCAATTTCTTTATGATAAAACTCTTTTAAATGATAAAAATTGATCCCATAGTTTATTCAACTATCATCTGATCTCTTCAACCTCCCCCCCCCCCCCAGTTCTTCCATTATCCAAACTTTTTTTCTCTCTAAAACTGAAGAAATACTGTCAATTACATCTACAACTCCTTTTTGCAACAACTCTTTACAATAAAAAAAAGCAACTGTTTCCATGGTTTATTCGACTGACCCCTTTCATTCCATCCCCATAAATTCCATGCACCTTACTTGAGAAGTCCTCCAAAGCTTCCATCATGGGTTATTGCAGGGGACAAAGCAGACAACGCACAACCCACTCTGACTAGACATGGACGCCTGCTGTGTCAGAGCACAGGGATTCCCACAACTCTAACCCAATTACAGCCCGACACTATCCCCCATTCCGCCAATATCCGGGCCCAATTTGTTTTATCGGAAGCTCGCACAAGCCCCAAACCTTTTTTTTTATCTAACAAACTGGAGTTTTTGCGGTCGTGTATTTTAAGGGAAACAATAATGAAGACTGGGCCGACTGGGCCGACTGGGCCGGCTGGGCCGATAGATCTGCCGGCCCCGACCATGCAGTGACACAAGAGAGGAAATGCAATCTGACCACACCCTTTCCTGATTGGTATTGCAGACTGTGCTGGCGGACAGGCGGGAAAAAAGTCATGTTATCCTTGTGTTCATAAGTGCACAACTGCTACAGCAGGTGTTTTGTTATCAAGGTGTAGATGTAACAACATCCTCCTTTTGTTATGATTAAAACATTGTAACAACGAAACAATAAGTCATGGGTTTTCTGGGGCTGAGAAATGTTTTCGTATCATCTGTTGGTCAGGGTATTGAAAGTGGGTGGGGCATACAGCAAAAAGAGGGACGAGGCAGGTGGAGTATTCCCATAGAGTTGGATATTAAACTCGATGAGTATTCCACAAACAGTCCTGTCTTGACCATGACAGCACAGCACGCCATTGTCATCATGTGCCGAGGTCAATCAGCACACAGCATCAGCTGCCCATCACACGAGGTCAACTTATAGCTAAGCTATTTTTAGAACAATTACAAGTCAATAAATACACCATGCTTGAGGAATGATATTCTTAACCAATTAACCTTTTTGATGGATTATGAAACCAGCTGAGCTGGGTTATCCATGATAGTGAGCCACACCCCAGCACAAATTTAGTTTTGAATGCCATAATAATCAGTTCATTTGGAACTTATTCCAGAAATAGGAGTTCACAGAAATGTTATGAAACAACCGACCAAATCATTACATGTAATTTTGTATCCTAGTCATAGTGCATTGATCTCATCACAGTTGGGCACTTGTACAGAACTTGTATCGCTTCCTCAAAATACTTTTATTATTATTTTTTTTAAATTAAAAACTGATTACCATAGTTAAAATTTCACTGCAATACTACTTTATAACTTTTAATCCTTCTTCCATGCCTCATCTGTAACCCCCTCCAAAAGTCCAATTTCCACGCTGGCTCCACTCCCAAATTGTGCATACTCTTGCAACTGTTTTTCTCGTTTCTCAACACTCAAATCTCATTGCTATTGCTAGGTCGGTTATAATTCTCGTCTGAAATTATTATCAATTAAAATTCCTCCCTCAAGCAACAAGGAAACAGAAAAATTCAAGAAGTACTATAAACTCTAGTTTTGGGGGCAAGTGCCCATCTCTGTAGCCAGCCCTTTGTAGGGTATAGTCTTGGTTTGACACTGGATTCAAAATGTGTTCTTTTTGCAGCAGTTCCAATCCCTGGCATAAGGGGAAACAAAATTAAAAATCCAGACTTGGACCAGAGCAGCAAGACTACTTGTAGGGGTGTTATAGCACTTAACTAATCTAGCAACATGTCATAAAATTTGGGTTACCCCTGGGGGGTGTCAACACGTAGAAAGACCCTGGGTGAGGCCCAGGCAAGTCCAAAATGCCAGGACCACACCCAAGATAGGCATTTGGGTCTAGCGAACCAAGAGTTTCATTAGTGCAGGAAGGATACTAATGGGTCAGTGGTTCCAAAACTGGAAGTGTTTGTACCCTGTGGTCATTTCAAGGTTATCCTGTCACCAGCTGTGTGCTCT